GGGGGAGCGACACCGGTCAGTGCCGGGACACCGGGGGGACAGGAGGGGACACCGGGGACAGGCGGGGACACCGGGGGGACACCGGGGACTGGCGGGGACAGGCAGGGACACCAGGGGGAGCGACACCGGTCAGTGCCGGGACACCGGGGGGACACCGGGGACAGGCGGGGACACCGGGGGGACAACGGGGGGACACCGGGGACAGGCAGCGACACCGGGGGGACACCGGGGACAGGCGGGGACACCGGGGGGACAACGGGGATAGGCAGCGACACCAGGGGGAGTGACACCGGTCAGTGCGGGGGGACCGGGGGGACTCCGGGGGGACACCGGGGGAACACTGGGGACAGCGGGACACCGGGGACAGGCAGCGACACCGGTCAGTGCCGGGACACCGGAGACAGGTGGAGACACCGGGGGGACACCGGGGACAGGCAGCGACACCAGGGGGGACACCGGGGACAGACAGGGACACCGGGGGACACCGGGGGGGACACCGGGGACAGGCAGGGACACCGGGGGACAGCGGGGACACCGGGGACAGACAGGGACACCGGGGGACACCGGCGGGGACACCGGGGACAGACAGGGACACCGGGGGACACCGGCGGGGACACCGGGGACAGACAGGGACACCGGGGGGACACCGGGGACAGCGGGGACACCGGGGACAGACAGGGACACCGGGGGACACCGGGGGGGACACCGGGGACAGGCAGCGACACCGGGGGGGACACCGGGGACAGACAGGGACACCGGGGGACAGCGGGGACACCGGGGACAGACAGGGACACCGGGGGGACACCGCGGGGGACACCGGGGACAGGCAGTGGCACCGATCACTGCAGGGGACATCGGGGGGGACACTGGGGACAGCTGGGGACACCGGTCAGTGCTGGGGGACACCGGGGACAGGCGGGGACACTGGGGACAGGTGGGGACACCGGTCAGGGGTCCTGGGGGACATTTGGGGGTCCCAGGACATGGGGAAGGGAAGAAGGGGGACCCCAGGGCAGGGTTTTGTGACATCTGGGGGGGCGGGGGGAGTATGGGAGAGGTGGGGCTGGGGTCCCCAGGGTGGGGTTTGGGGTCCCCAGGGTGGGGTTTGGGGTCTCCAGGGTGGGGTGGAGGAGACAGTCTGGGGTCCCCAGGGTGGGGTTTGGGGTCCCCAGGGTGGGGTGGAGGAGACAATCTGGGGTCCCCAGGGTGGGGTTTGGGGTCCCCAGGGTGGGGTGGAGGAGACAATCTGGGGTCCCCAGGGTGGGGTTCGGGATCTCCCAGGGTGGGGTGGGGGGAGCCCCTAAGATATTTTGGGGTCCCCAGGGTGGGTTTGGGGTCCCCAGGGTAAGTTTGGGGTCCTCAGGGTGAGCAGGACCCCCGAGAACAATTTGAGGGTCTCTGCGGACAGTTTTGGGGTCTCTTGTCCTGTTTCGGGGAGCCCCATGAGGCTTTGAGGCTCCAGACATATTTGGGGGGAGGTTTTGGGGACCACCTGTGAGTTTTTGGGGATGTGGGGAGGGGGTCTCAGGCTCTGTTTCCCCTTACAGAAACCCCCCCGGACCCCCCGGAGGAGCGTGGGGGGAGCCCCCCGAGCGGCGCCTCGTCCTCGGGGGTGCACACGCTGCCGGCGGGGGGCGGCTCCAGCGATGGATTTTCGGGGGGCTCCTGCGCCTCCCGGGGACCCCCCCGGCGCCCCCCCAGCCCCAGCTCGGCCTCGGACTCGCTCTTCACCCCCACCTCGAGCTCCCTCATTTCGGGGGGCTCCGAGGGGCTCCCCAACCCCCTGGGTCAGTTGGGAGGGGTCCGGGGGGGG